CTTTTATAGTCAGTTAACTCTCTTGCCTCGGGAAGATGGTGATCGCGTCTCTCAGGCGACCATGTTTAACGTGTTTAAACACTGACTCGAGAATTCTGAGAGAATAAACTATGTTTATTCAAGACATGTTTCTGTTCATTATGAAGAGTTGAGATACTACAAATTGGCGACGATGAGCTAGGAAGTAGTCTCGTCCAGCGCCTTATGCTCTCAAGGAGAAAAAATGAGAAGAATTAGACACACTTCTAGCAGAAGGTACAATTGATCTTTACGCCGTACAAGGTGGGGGTGAAGAATTCAAAAAGTTGGACTTGAATCAAGTCTATCAACAGATCAAGTTAGTAGAATAGAATAGAATAGAAGTATCACATCATCAACACTTACCGAAGACATATGTATACGTATAACAGGTTACAGTATAGCGTTTCGTCTGCTCAAGGAATATCCCAATGAAGAATGGAGAATTTACTTCAAGGTCTTCCAAGAGTGTTGGTGTGAATTGCCGATACCCTTGTAACTGAATGTTCTCGCAAAGAACATTGAGAAACTTTGTGAACTGTTACAGAGGCTCGCTACTCAGGTCTTTGTCTGAAGAGGAAGAAATTATATTCCAAGTGAAAGAGGTTGTTTAGATGGGATATAGAATAGACAAAGAAGGCACACATCCAGTAGCAGATCAAGCTATCAAGGAGGCTCCATAACCAACTTCATTGAAGGAATTAAAGAGTTATCTCGGAATGCTCAACTACTATGGCAGGTGTTTGAATAATTTATCAGCTGTACTAGCACCGTTGTATCAGCTACCACAGAAGAATTCAATGTGGTCATGGGGTCCAGCACAACCAGACGCCCTTCCAGGATTCCAAAGATTTGTGGTGTTCTGCACAATTATTGGTTGTTGTTATCATGCGATGTATCACCATATGAAATTAGTGCCATGTTAGCGATTAGAATGGAGAATTGAGAGGAAAAAACAACTGAATGTGTATAAGTTCAAGTAATTCAACCTTTATAGAATTCTAGAGTAAAGAAGTTGTACATTGTATCAGATAATGTACCATGGGTCGAACAGCGAGTACAAACTATTCTTGTGTACATGCTAAACATGATGTTCTGTTGTCATGTATGAACGTGCTGTGTGTTTGTTGGTTGTTCAACGCCGTAATTTTCCAGTTTTACGGTTGTGTGTAAATAATCGTGAACAGACAATCCAGTGATTGACATTATGACCATCAATCTACGCAAATGGGATAAGATTGCATGCACCAACCAAGTCAGTGAGCCTGACCACCCGATCCCGTTAGTTAGCACGAAGACCTATTATGCATGGATGCACGTGTCGTTCTCCATTCCATTGTAACATGATATAATATAATTCCAGTGAGACGTTTCTCATACACAAGGAACGATTCTGGACAAGGGTTTGTCTTTTGCAGTAGGAAGGGAGTAGGTGAGTTCATATAGTGGTGACTCCGCATAACACCACTGTCACAGGATAAATTGCATATCACGTGACCGGACTTTCCTCTTGTTTGTAAACAAACGTGCTTTTTCAGAAATCAGTATAGAACGGACTAATGCAAGTATTTGGGGGCGCTTTACATATTGTTTTGCATAATTATATAGATGTGCTACTATAACTGCGACAGTGAGATGCATTTATACATCAGAGTGTCCGTATCGCTAGCTCTCCGTTGGGCTTCGATGACAGCACGTGGAGCCGTACAACCAATGTAAACAAAGGCTAACTACGCAAAAAAGAAGTAGATTTTCACGTATTAGGATACTTTCGTAATGAACCGTAACCATTCTTTGACATTTGTTTATGAAAATGTGTAGACTTGTCAAACATGAAACGGATGAAAAGCATATGCAATATCTTGAATGGACTGTGAAAGATGTGACGAATCGTCACATGGCGCTGCCCTGTGGCAGAGGTACTATGCTGGCTGGCTGCCGGCCGCATGGAACTCTGTGTAGGAGAGTGAGTATCCTTATCTTTCTTTTAAATTTTCGAAACGTGAACAAATGGTTGATAGAAGAATGAATGAGTGAGCTGGGTTTAACGCCGCTTTTAACATTATTACAGTTATACCGCGGCGTGTCAGCTTAATGTGGGAGGAAAGCCCGAAATGATGCAGATCTCAGACGTTTACCACTTCAGTGAAACCCACGAGCACGGGTATGGTGCTACCCGACCACCCCCTGAAGAAAGTATTTTGTGATGAACATCCCAACTGTTAACTGCAAGCCGGTGATATAATCCTTTAGAAGTGAAAGAAACATGTAGGAACAACATTGTTGTTTTCGGGGATTTATTTTGGAGTATCATGTGACCAGCTATAATGTATCGTATAAGAGCTATTTGTTCGAGACTATCTCGTTCGGACTCATGGGTGTGAAAGTATAGCTTTCTCTGCACTATATAAAAAGACGCATGCCTGATCGCGTGTGCGACATGTATACATACGCTTACAGTCGGAAAGCGCACGTAAAATCCCCAAAGCTCAGTCAGTCAGTGATCGCGCATCTTCCCGAGGCAAGAGAGTTAACTGACTATAAAAGTCCAGTTTCCACCCTTGCTGAACTAGGCTGGAATTCCTGGTTCTATCGTAGCGCCACCAGTGGCTATTACGAGTTATGTCCTTTCTAAGCCTCTCCTATAGACCAATCAGATTCCACCTCTCATATCGCTTACATTTTCTTCAAACAAAACAGTGGCTCCCAGTCAAGACGATCTGATCGATAATCAAGGTCTATATTGTGATAAAACGGGTCTTACATCGCGAAATACATGAAATCACGTGAGCACCTTGATTAAAAACATGAAAAGATTTGGAAAATATCTGTTGACATCGAGTTGGCAGTGCACATGCTTTGGAAATCCTGCAATCAACCGAAATCTGCACGACAGTTTACGAACCGGATTTCGATTTCGTTGCGCGATTTTGATTGGACTATGCATAGACTCGTTAGTCCAGCCAAGTAACTCCACAATACCAGCCTAGTTCGGCAAGGGTGGAAACTGGACTTTTATAGTCAGTTATAACTCTCTTGCCTCGGGAAGATGGTGATCGCGTCTCTCAGGCGACCATGTTTAACGTGATTAAACACTGACTCGAGAATTCTGAGAGAATAAACTATGTTTAAACAAGACATGTTTCTGTTCATTATGAAGAGTTGAGATACTACAAATTGGCGACGATGAGCTAGGAAGTAGTCTCGTCCAGCGCCTTATGCTCTCAAGGAGAAAAAATGAGAAGAATTAGACACACTTCTAGCAGAAGGTACAATTGATCTTTACGCCGTACAAGGTGGGGGTGAAGAATTCAAAAAGTTGGACTTGAATCAAGTCTATCAACAGATCAAGTTAGTAGAATAGAATAGAATAGAAGTATCACATCATCAACACTTACCGAAGACATATGTATACGTATAACAGGTTACAGTATAGCGTTTCGTCTGCTCAAGGAATATCCCAACGAAGAATTGAGAATTTACTTCAAGGTCTTCCAAGAGTGTTGGTGTGAATTGCCGATACCCTTGTAACTGAATGTTCTCGCAAAGAACATTGAGAAACTTTGTGAACTGTTACAGAGGCTCGCTACTCAGGTCTTTGTCTGAAGAGGAAGAAATTATATTCCAAGTGAAAGAGGTTGTTTAGATGGGATATAGAATAGACAAAGAAGGCACACATCCAGTAGCAGATCAAGCTATCAAGGAGGCTCCATAACCAACTTCAGTGACGGAATTAAAGAGTTATCTCGGAATGCTCAACTACTATGGCAGGTGTTTGAATAATTTATCAGCTGTACTAGCACCGTTGTATCAGCTACCACAGAAGAATTCAATGTGGTCATGGGGTCCAGCACAACCAGACGCCCTTCCAGGATTCCAAAGATTTGTGGTGTTCTGCACAATTATTGGTTGTTGTTATCATGCGATGTATCACCATATGAAATTAGTGCCATGTTAGCGATTAGAATAGAGAATTGAGAGGAAAAAACAACTGAATGTGTATAAGTTCAAGTAATTCAACCTTTATAGAATTCTAGAGTAAAGAAGTTGTACATTGTATCAGATAATGTACCATGGGTCGAACAGCGAGTACAAACTATTCTTGTGTACATGCTAAACATGATGTTCTGTTGTCATGTATGAACGTGCTGTGTGTTTGTTGGTTGTTCAACGCCGTAATTTTCCAGTTTTACGGTTGTGTGTAAATAATCGTGAACAGACAATCCAGTGATTGACATTATGACCATCAATCTACGCAAATGGGATAAGATTGCATGCACCAACCAAGTCAGCGAGCCTGACCACCCGATCCCGTTAGTTAGCACGAAGACCTATTATGCATGGATGCACGTGTCGTTCTCCATTCCATTGTAACATGATATAATATAATTCCAGTGAGACGTGTGTCATACACAAGGAACGATTCTGGACAAGGGTTTGTCTTTTGCAGTAGGAAGGGGGTAGGTGAGTTCAGATAGAGGGGGGAGGGAGATCAGGAAGGAGATGGGGAGATCAGACAGGTGGGGGAGATCAGGAAGGAGGCAGGTCATAACTGATCAGACAGGCGGGAGAGATCAGGATGGAGGGAAGTGAGATCAGACAGGTGAGGGTGATCAGGAAGGAGGGAGCTGAGAGTTTAAGGAATGAGGTAAAAGAGTTCAAATAGAGGACGAAGGGAAATCTGGAAGGAGGTAGGGGAGATCAGACAGGTGCAAGGGATCAGGAAGCGGGAAGGTGAGATGAGACAGGTGGGGGAGATCAGGAAGGAGTTAGGTGAGATCAGACAGGTGGGATAGATCAGGAAGGAGGTTAGTGAGATCGTATTGTTTGGAGGGATCAGGAAGGAGGCAAGTGAGATGAGACAGGTGTAGGAGATCAGGAAGGAGGAAGCTGAGATCAGACAAGTGGGAGAGATCAGGAAGGAGTTAGGTTAGATCAGACACGTGGAGGAGATCAGGAAGGAAGTAAGGAGGAAGGTTGCGATGAGACAGGTGGGGGAGATCAGGAAGGGGGAAGCTGAGGTCAGACAGGTGGGAGAGATCAAGAAGGGAGAAGCAAAGATCAGACAGGTTGGAGAGAGCAGGTAGGAGTTAGGTGAGATTAGACAGGTAGGGGAGATCAGGACGGTAGTAGGTTTGATCAGACAGGTGGGGGAGATCAGGAAGGAGGGAAGTGAGATCAGACAGGTGTAGGAGATGAGGAAGGGGGAAGCTGAGACAGATAGGCCGGAGAGATCAGGATCGAGGATTGTGAGATCAGACACGGGAGGGTGATCAGGAAGGAGTTAAGTGAGATCAGTCATGTGGGGGAGATCAGGAAGGAGTTAGGTGAGATCAGACACGTGGAGGAGATCAGGAAGGAGGTAAGTGAGATCAGACAGGTGGGAGAGATCAGGTAGGAGGTAGGTCAGGCCAGACAGATCGGAGGGATCGGGAAGGGGGAAGGTGAAATCAGACAGGTTGGAGAGAGCAGATAGGAGTTAGGTGAGATCAGTCATGTGGGGGAGATCAGGAAGGAGTTAGGTGAGATCAGACAGGTGCAGGAGATGTTGAAGGAGTTAGGTGAGATCAGACAGGTGGGGGAGATCCGATAGGGGGAAGGTGCGATGAGTCAGGTGGGGGAGATCTCGAAGGGGAAGCTATCATCAGACAGGTGGGAGGAATCAAGAAGTGGGAATGTGAGACAGGTGGGGGAGATTAGGATTGGGGAAGGTGTGACATCAGACAGGTTGGAAAGAGAGCGAAGGAGGTAGGTCAGATCAGACAGGTGGGAGGGACCAGGAAGGGGGAAGGTGAGATCAGACAGGTGCAGGAGATTACGAAGGGGGAAGCTGAGATTAGACAGATGGGAGAGATCAAGAAGGGGGACATCAGACAGGTGGGACAGATCAGGAAGGCGTTAGTTGAGATCAGACAGGTGGGACAGATCAAGAAGGGGGAAGCTGAGATCAGACAGGTGGGAGAGATCAAGAAGGGGGACATCAGACAGGTGGGACAGATCAAGAAAGGGGAAGCTGAGATCAGACAGGTGGGAGAGATCAAGAAGGGGGTAAGTGAGATCAGACAGGTGCAGGAGATTACGAAGGGGGAAGCTGAGATCAGACAGGTGGGAGAGATCAAGAAGGGGGACATCAGACAGGTGGGAGAGATCAGGAAGGCGTTAGTTGAGATCAGACAGGTGGGGCAGATCAAGAAGGGGGAAGCTGAGATCAGACAGGTAGTAGAGAGTGAGTGAGTGAGTTAATATTTAACGTCACATCGGCCGTATTTCAGCCATATCAGTACATTTATAATACCTATCTTTAGACTGAATAAAACCCTGTCAACGATGGACAGTCAAATAACTCGATTTATCACAGATTTTATCTAAAACTAGTAGATAGCAATAAAAATATAACATCATACGAAACAATATAATATAAAAATGAGCTATTGATCGCCAGCCACTGAAGAGAGATCACAATGATAGGGTCCATGGGGACTTACAGTACGTATGCTACCAGCATGGACCCAAGCCGGATTGACATCATCCCTTCAGCTATTGGCGATTATTGATAAAGTTAGCTAACATTAAAAAAACACATATGCTACGATTAAAAGTGTGGTACAAATAAATATACTTTGAAAGACGTGGTCTTACATACCCTCTCAGGGGGACAATCATTTTACACTACTTTAACCCCCTACAAGGATATAGCCACTAACAATCTCAGTTATTGATTTATTCAGCCAATTTTAAAATGAATCTATTTATTTACAAAACATTTCAATCAAAATTTATGATTTTATTCAATTTGTTTTAAAAAGTCAAGAATTAAATGAAAACTAATAGTGTTAAAAAGATCCTTAATAGATTTAACCTTGAAATATTTAACGCTTGGGATGGAAAAATCAACACAGTCAAGCAGGACATGCTTGACCGTGATTCTTTCATCACAAGGGATGCAGAATGGAGGAAGCCTCACCTTTTAGTAAATATTCAGGAGCATATCGACAATGGCCAATACGACATCGTCTTAATACGACCTCTTCAAATCTGGACTGACAAACCAAGTAGGTATAACATATTTGCTTATATTGCATGTAATTTATTTATACCCACTTGTTGTCCCACTTCTGCTGCATTAGATCTCCGATGTAACATCTAATGACAGGTTTGTAATCATTGTAGGGTATGAGAAGTGGTGTCACAGATTTGTTGAGTGCTGCCTTAGTAGCAGCAGCAGCCAAAGTGTTACCAACGATCCCAACATGGCTGGGTAACCAACAAAAGACGATGTCGTATTGGTCAGTTGCAAGATTATTGTGTAATTCAATTATTTCAAGTAAAACTGGATGCTGACACGACATATTTTTTATTGCTTGAAGACAGGACAATGAGTCTGAAAAAATGATAAATTCTTTATGTTTAGACTGGCTATTGATATAGTTTAGAGCAGTTAATATGGCATTTGATTCTGCTGTAAAAATTGAGGAGTCATCTGGTAATCTGGTTGATATACTTCTGGATCCAGTGATGGTTGCGCTGGCAACAGCACCTCCATCCTTGGATCCATCTGTAAATATTGATTCGTAAGTGTTATATTCGCCTCTAAACTGATTATATTCCTGTTGATATTGTAGATGTATTGTATTGTATATTGTGGTTCGTGTCAGATTTCTTTAGTTTAGATAATGTAAGATCCACCTGTGGATTTACAAATTGTTGTTTATTTATTAGAGCATTTTTCACATATGTCTCTAATCTAACCAAATGGCCAATGGTACTTCTGTTTTTCCTACAACCGCATTGAATATTTGTTATAATGTTATTTGTTTCCAAGGACCATGTAAGTCTGTTGTTGACCATACGTTCCATTGTCCTGCAAACACAGGTAGTAAGTGATTTTGGCCTATAATTTGTTGGATCAGTGTGATCACGGCCATGGTTTTGGTATTGGAATTATGACAGCATTTCGCCACGATGAAGGGAAATCACCCGTTGTCCAGATATGATCAAATATAGTCAACAATGTCTCTAAACATGAATCAGGTAAATGTTTTAGTAACTGATAATGGATATTATCTGCACCAGTAGCAGTATCATGAGCTTGTCCTAAGGCGGTATGCAGCTCATGAATGGAAAATATTTCATTATAATCCTCACCATTATCACTGTTAAAATTAATTTCCTTTTTTTCTTGTTGATCTTTAAATTTCTGAAATTTGGGGGTATAATTTGATGGGGATGAATGTTTAGCTAATGTTTCTCCTAATTTATTGGCTATATCACATTTATCAAGTACTTATGTGTCACCTTCTTTAAGATGGTGAACACTAGATTTTTAGCCTTTACCTTTAATCCTTTGTATCATATTCCAAACTTTAGACATCGGTGTTAGGGAATATATTTTAGATACATAATTGCGCCAAGATTGGCGTTTATTTTGTTTGAAAGTGCGACGAACTTTTGCATTTAAAATTTTAAATTTATTTAGATTTTGGACAGTTGGGTGATGGCGGAAATATTTCTCTGCCTTTTTTTTCTAGCTTTCCTAGCTTGTTTACAATCGGTGTTAAACCATGGTTTACGTATATGTGGATTTGTAGAGGACTTTGGTATACATTCATCAGCAATTTCTTTTAAATCGTCGGAAGAAACCTGAATAGGATCAGCAACATCACTGAAACACTCAGGAATAAGCTTATGTGTGGATAATGATTTAAATAGTCCAGTTAGCCTTTGTAAAATTCCATCTATTGATTGCTTTAATGATAGTTGGGAAATGGTCACTTCCACAAAGATGACCATTCAAATTCGTTGAGTAGATTGGCCTGAGTTATAGATAAATCTAGAGCAGAGTAGGTGCCAGTTGCAGGATGTAGGTAAGTGTTGGAATCATCATTAAATATGCACAGGTTATTATTAGTGAGGAACTCTTCGTTTATTTTACCTTTATTGTTAGAGTATGTACCACCCCAGAGTGGGTTGTGGCCATTTAGATCACCCATGATTACACAGGGTTTAGGGAGTTTATCATATAGAGCTGGAAGATGAGACTGCTGGAGAGCTGATGAAGGCGGAATATATAGTGAACACAGAGTAAAAGCAACGTTCAAAGTAAGTCCAACTGCAACTGTTTGTAGATTAGTTCCGAGTATAACAGGGCTATGGATGACACCTATAGCTAACGATGATTGAAGAGCCTCCACTTGCCATATCACCTGGAGGGGAAAAACTATGATATGCATTGAACTGGGGTGAGTTGAAGTTATCCGTCTGCTTCAGAAATGTTTCTTGTAAGCAGATCGCTGATGATTTAAAATCCTGGATCAACAGATGTAATTCATTAAAATTGGTCTTCAGTCCTCTACAATTCCACTGTAATATGTTATTTGAAGACACTATCTCTTCGGTGGGTTGACGGGAGATCTCCCCCGTACTTTCTTTGAGGGCGACAAGCTGTGTGCCCTATGTTGGATGCTTTCGGACACGTCTTTGTCTTCAGGGGATTCAAATTTGTTACATATTTGGATCTGGTTCTTCGATCCTTTTGAGGGTCTGCCACTTTGATATTTTCTTGATGATCCCGTTGTATGTTTGACTTTGCTTGTAGCAACTTGTTTCACTTTGGTTTGAGGTTGTGGAGCTGACTGAGGATTATGATTGGTCCGGAGAGATACAAGATAATTGTGAGTCACCTTGAGATAGTTCTACAGTCTGAGTGGACTGTTCAGTCGAGAAGACTTCAGGATGATCTGAGTTAACCCATGTTAGGTCTGTTTGGCACTGATTGTTTGGTTACTGATAAAGTAGATATTTGTCTGTTTGATTCGGCTGGTGTTCTGGTTGCGGAGGCATACGTTTTTTTACTTCAGCAAAACTCAGGTTTCGGGTGAATTTAATTTTGTCTATCTCCATCTGTTGCTTCCAGATTGGACAGTCTTTTGAGAATGAAGATTGGTTTCCTGAACAGTTTGTACATTTTTTGAAGCTGCTGTCACAGTCTTCTGTTACATCTGTATTATTCTCACTGCAGTGAGCACATGCAACAGAAGAGGTACAGGTGTTAACGCCATGGCCATATTTTTGGCATTTGAAACATCGCAAAGGGTTTAGGATGTAAGTATCAACGTTTATGTTGCAGTAACCTGCCTTTATAGATTTTGGAGCTGTCGGAGAAGAAAAACAAAAAGAGGTAAGTTTTGGTTGGTTGAGTTTCGTTATTCTTGCGGGTCGTGAACCTTTTAACATAGATGACTCCTTGATCCCCCATTTCGGAAACAATATCAGTTACATCCATGTCACTGAATTATCGATCCCTGTCTCTCGATAGCTTTGCTGGTGTTCAGTGTCATGTGAGATCAAAACAGGGACTCCAACAAACGTATCTATTGACAAGAGGTTTGAAGATTGTGATTCTTTGTTACATTCTATGAGGATAGCACCTGATCGCAATCTTTTGATGTTTTTTACCTCTCCTGCGATTCCTTGAATACCCCTAGATATTGCAAACGGGTTCAAGAGGCGTCTTGTCGGGAGTCTCAATAACCAGGAAACGTGGCCAGTCAACGTGTTTGGACGGTCGAATTTCGGTATCGTGATCAGTGATCAGCTTGGCATGACCAGTCGATTGATAGGACCGGTCCCATCCTACCACCCGTCTAGGCGAAGTAAGGGTCGAAGTGGTGTATTGAGCAAAGGAACGCTATGGAACCAGTTCCCCCAACCATCAGACTGCCGTCCTCCGCCGACACAGGGACGCAACCCATGGCAAACGGGCTGCCCACTTTGGTCGCCCTTTACGACCAGCATTGGGGTGCTGTGTGATATTGTGCCCCGGTTCCACACGGGGAAGAGCTATAAGCGTTACCCAGCACTCACCACGAGGAGGTTGCTCTTCATGAGTGCCGGGTAGGAGAGAGCAAATAGTAGGTAGGTCAGGTCAGACAGATCGGAGGGATCGGGAAGGGGGAGGGTGAGATCAGACTGGTGCAGGAGATCAGAAAGGAGTTAGGTGAGATGAGACAGGTGCAGGAGATCAGAAAGGAATTAGGTGAGATCAGACAGGTGGGAGGAATCAAGAAGTGGGAAGGTGAGATCAGGTGAAGGAGATCAGGATTCGAGAAGGTGTGATCAGACAGGTTGGAGGAATCAGGAATGTGTTAGTTGAGATCAGACAGATTGGAGAGAGCAGGTAGGAGGAAAGTGAGATCAAACAGGTGGGAGAGATCAGTAAGGAGGTATGTGAGTTCAAACAGGTGGGAGAGATCAGTAAGGAGGTATGTGAGTTCAAACAGGTGCAGGAGTTCAGGAAGGGGGAAGGTGAGATCAGGCAGGTGGGAGAGATCAGTAAGGAGGTATGTGAGTTCAAACAGGTGGGAGAGATCAGTAAGGAGGTATGTGAGTTCAGACAGGTGCAGGAGTTCAGGAAGGAGGTATGTGAGTTTAGACAGGTGCAGGAGTTCAGGAAGGAGGTATGTGAGTTCAAACAGGTGGGAGAGATCAGTAAGGAGGTATGTGAGTTCAGACAGGTGCAGGAGTTCAGGAAGGAGGTATATGAGTTCAAACAGGTGGGAGAGATCAGTAAGGAGGTATGTGAGTTCAAACAGGTGCAGGAGTTCAGGAAGGGGGAAGGTGAGATCAGGCAGGTGGGAGAGATCAGTAAGGAGGTATGTGAGTTCAAACAGGTGCAGGAGTTCAGGAAGGGGGAAGGTGAGATCAGGCAGGTGGGAGAGATCAGTAAGGAGGTATGTGAGTTCAAACAGGTGCAGGAGTTCATGAAGGAGGTATGTGAGTTTAGACAGGTGCAGGAGTTCAGGAAGGAGGTATGTGAGTTCAAACAGGTGGGAGAGATCAGTAAGGAGGTATGTGAGTTCAGACAGGTGCAGGAGTTCAGGAAGGAGATATGTGAGTTCAAACAGGTGGGAGAGATCAGTAAGGAGGTATGTGAGTTCAAACAGGTGCAGGAGTTCAGGAAGGGGGAAGGTGAGATCAGGCAGGTGGGAGAGATCAGTAAGGAGGTATGTGAGTTCAAACAGGTGCAGGAGTTCAGGAAGGGGGAAGGTGAGATCAGGCAGGTGGGAGAGATCAGTAAGGAGGTATGTGAGTTCAAACAGGTGCAGGAGTTCAGGAAGGGGGAAGGTGAGATCAGGCAGGTGGGAGAGATCAGTAAGGAGGTATGTGAGTTCAAACAGGTGCAGGAGTTCAGGAAGGGGGAAGGTGAGATCAGGCAGGTGGGAGAGATCAGTAAGGAGGTATGTGAGTTCAAACAGGTGCAGGAGTTCAGGAAGGGGGAAGGTGAGATCAGGCAGGTGGGAGAGATCAGTAAGGAGGTATGTGAGTTCAAACAGGTGCAGGAGTTCAGGAAGGGGGAAGGTGAGATCAGGCAGGTGGGAGAGATCTAGAAGGGTCAAAGCTGACCTCAGACAGGTGGGAGAGATCAGGAAGGAGTTAGCTGGGATCAGACAGATGGGAGGAATCAGGAAGGAGTTAGTTGAGATCAGACAGATGGGAGGCATCAGAAAGGAGTTAGTTGAGATCAGAAGGTTCGGAGAGATGAAGAAGGGAGAAGGTGAGATCAGACAGGAGGGAGAGATCAGGATGGGGGAAGGTGACTTCAGACAGGTTGGAAAGAGAGGGAAGGAGGTAGGTCAGATCAGACATGTGGAGGGACCAGGAAGGGGGAAGGTGAGATCAGACAGTCGGGTGAGATCAGGAAGGAGTTAGATGAGATTAGATAGGTGGGGTAGATCAGGAAGGTGAACGCTGAGATCAGACAGGTGGGAGAGATCAGGAAGGCGTTAGTTGAGATCAGACAGGTGGGACAGATCAAGAAGGAAATAGGTGAGATCAAACAGGTGGTAAAGATCAAGAAGGGGGAAGCTGAGATCAGACAAGTGGGAGGGATCTGGAAGGGGGAAGGTGAGGTTAGACATGCGTAGGTGATCAGGCAGGAGTTAGGTGAGATCAGACAGTTGGAGGAGATGAGGAAGGACGGCAGTGATATAAGACAGGTGGGAGAGGTCAGGGAGGGAGAAACTGAGATCAGACAGGTGCAGGAGATGAGGAAGGAGTGAAGTGAGATCAGACAGGTGGGAGAGACCAGGAAGGGGGAAGTTGAGATCAGACAGGTAGGAGAGAGCAGGTAGGAGGGAGGTCAGATCAGACAGGTGCAGGAGATCAGGAAGGATGGAAGTGAGATCAGACAGGTTGGAGAGGTCAGGAAGGGAGAAACTGAGATCAGACAGGTGCAGGAGATCAGGAAGGAGGGAAGTGAGATCAGACAGGTTGGGGAGATCAGGTAGGTGAAAGCTGAGATCAGACAGGTGGGGGAGGTCAGGAAGGAGTTATTTGAGATCAGACATATAGGAGGAATCAGGAAGGAGTGAGGTGAGATCAGACAGGAGGGGAGATCAGGAGGGAGTGAGGTGAGATCAGACAGGTTGGAGAGATCATGATGGGGGAAGGTGACATCTGACAGGTTGGAGAGATCAAGAAGGGGGTGGTGAGATCAGACAGGAGGGGAGATCAGGATGGGGGAAGGTGTGATCAGACAGGTGGGTGAGATCAGGAAGGAGGGAAGTGAGATCAGGGTGGTGCAGGAGGTCAGGAAGGTGGAAGCTGAGATCAGACAGGTGGGGGAGATCAGGAAGGAGTTATTTGAGATCAGACAGATAGGAGGAATCAGGAAGGAGTTAGTTGAACTGGAGAGATCAGGACGGAGTGAGGTGAGATCAGACAGGAGGGGAGATGAGGAAGGAGTGAGGTGAGATCAGACAGGAGGGGAGATCAGGAAGGAGTGAGGTGAGATCAGACAGGAGGGGAGATCAGGAAGGAGTGGGATGAGATCAGACAGGCTGGAGAGATCAGGAAGGAGTGAGGTGAGATCAGACAGGTTGGAGAGATCAAGAAGGGGGTGGTGAGATTAGACAGGAGGGGAGATCATGATGGGGGGAAGGTGACATCTGACAGGTTGGAGTGATCAAGAAGGGGATGGTGAGATCAGACAGGTGGGAGAGATCAGGAAGGAGGGAAGTGAGATCAGGGTGGTGCAGGATGTCAGGAAGGTGGAAGCTGAGATCAGACAGGTGGGGGAGATCATGTAGGAGGGAGCTGAGAGTTAAGGAATGAGGTGGGTGAGTTCAGATAGAGGGGGTGATATCAGGAAGGAGGTATGTGAGATCATAGAGGTGGGAGAGATAGGGAAGGAGGTAGGTGAGATCAGACAGGTGCAGAAGATCAGAAAGGGGGAAGGTACGATCAGACAGGTAGGAGAGAGCAGGTAGGAGGGAGGTCAGATCAGACAGGTGCAGGAGATCAGGAAGGATGAAAGTGAGATCAGACAGGTTGGAGAGGTCAGGAAGGGAGAAACTGAGATCAGACAGGTGCAGGAGATCAGGAAGGAGGGAAGTGAGATCAGACAGGTTGGGGAGATCAGGTAGGTGAAAGCTGAGATCAGACAGGTGGGGGAGATCAGGAAGGAGTTATTTGAGATCAGACATATAGGAGGAATCAGGAAGGAGTGAGGTGAGATCAGACAGGAGGGGAGATCAGGAGGGAGTGAGGTGAGATCAGACAGGTTGGAGAGATCATGATGGGGGAAGGTGACATCTGACAGGTTGGAGAGATCAAGAAGGGGGTGGTGAGATCAGACAGGAGGGGAGATCAGGATGGGGGAAGGTGTGATCAGACAGGTGGGTGAGATCAGGAAGGAGGGGGTGAGATCAGGGTGGTGCAGGAGGTCAGGAAGGTGGAAGCTGAGATCAGACAGGTGGGGGAGATCAGGAAGGAGTTATTTGAGATCAGACAGATAGGAGGAATCAGGAAGGAGTTAGTTGAACTGGAGAGATCAGGACGGAGTGAGGTGAGATCAGACAGGAGGGGAGATGAGGAAGGAGTGAGGTGAGATCAGACAGGAGGGGAGATGAGGAAGGAGTGAGGTGAGATCAGACAGGAGGGGAGATCAGGAAGGAGTGGGATGAGATCAGACAGGCTGGAGAGATCAGGAAGGAGTGAGGTGAGATCAGACAGGTTGGAGAGATCAAGAAGGGGGTGGTGAGATCAGACAGGAGGGGAGATCATGATGGGGGAAGGTGACATGTGACAGGTTGGAGTGATCAAGAAGGGGATGGTGAGATCAGACAGGTGGGAGAGATCAGGAAGGAGGGAAGTGAGATCAGGGTGGTGCAGGAGGTCAGGAAGGTGGAAGCTGAGATCAGACAGGTGGGGGAGATCATGTAGGAGGGAGCTGAGAGTTAAGGAATGAGGTGGGTGAGTTCAGATAGAGGGGGTGATATCAGGAAGGAGGTATGTGAGATCATAGAGGTGGGAGAGATAGGGAAGGAGGTAGGTGAGATCAGACAGGTGCAGAAGATCAGGAAGGGGGAAGGTACGATCTGACAGGTGGGAGAGATGAGGAAGGACGGCAGTGATATAAGACAGGTGGAGAGGTCAGGAAGGGAGAAACTGAGATCAGACAGGTGCAGGAGATCAGGAAGGAGTGAAGTGAGATCAGACAGGTGGGAGAGACCAGGAAGGGGGAAGTTGAGATCAGACAGGTAGGAGAGAGCAGGTAGGAGGGAGGTCAGATCAGACAGGTGCAGGAGATCAGGAAGGATGGAAGTGAGATCAGACAGGTTGGAGAGGTCAGGAAGGGAGAAACTGAGATCAGACAGGTGCAGGAGATCAGGAAGGAGGGAAGTGAGATCAGACAGGTTGGGGAGATCAGGTAGGTGAAAGCTGAGATCAGACAGGTGGGGGAGATCAGGAAGGAGTTATTTGAGATCAGACATATAGGAGGAATCAGGAAGGAGTGAGGTGAGATCAGACAGGAGGGGAGATCAGGAAGGAGTGAGGTGAGATCAGACAGGTTGGAGAGATCATGATGGGGGAAGGTGACATCTGACAGGTTGGAGAGATCAAGAAGGGGGTGGTGAGATCAGACAGGAGAGGAGATCAGGATGGGGGAAGGTGTGATCAGACAGGTGGGTGAGATCAGGAAGGAGTTATTTGAGATCAGACAGATAGGAGGAATCAGGAAGGAGTTAGTTGAACTGGAGAGATCAGGACAGAGTGAGGTGAGATCAGACAGGAGGGGAGATCAGGAAGGAGTGAGGTGAGATCAGACAGGAGGGGAGATCAGGAAGGAGTGAGGTGAGATCAGACAGGAGGGGTGATCAGGAAGGAGTGGGGTGAGATCAGACAGGCTGGAGAGATCAGGAAGGAGTGAGGTGAGATCAGACAGGTTGGAGAGATCAAGAAGGGGGAAGGTGAGATCAGACAGGAGGAAGAGATCATGATGGAGGAAGGTGACATCTGACAGGTTGGAGTGATCAAGAAGGGGGTGGTGAGATCAGACAGGAGGGGAGATCATGATGGGGGGAAGGTGACATCTGACAGGTTGGAGTGATCAAGGAGGGGGTGGTGAGATCAGACAGGTGGGAGAGATCAGGAAGGAGGGAAGTGAGATCAGGGTGGTGCAGGATGTCAGGAAGGTGGAAGCTGAGATCAGACAGGTGGGGAGATCATGTAGGAGGGAGCTGAGAGTTAAGGAATGAGGTGGGTGAGTTCAGATAGAGGGGGTGATATCAGGAAGGAGGTATGTGAGATCATAGATGTGGGAGAGATAGGGAAGGAGGTAGGTGAGATCAGGGTGGTGCAGGAGGTCAGGAAGGTGGAAGCTGAGATCAGACAGGTGGGGGAGATCAGGAAGGAGTTATTTGAGATCAGACAGATAGGAGGAATCAGGAAGGAGTTAGTTGAACTGGAGAGATCAGGACGGAGTGAGGTGAGATCAGACAGGAGGGGAGATGAGGAAGGAGTGAGGTGAGATCAGACAGGAGGGGAGATCAGGACCCAGCTAACACACGACGTTGTCACAACGTTGTGGAAAGGTTGTGGATTGGTAACGTCGTGATATTACGTTGTCACAACGTTGTTATAACGTCAACGTGCAACGTTATTTCACAACGTTATAACAACGTTGCACATTCACGTTGTGAAAACGTTGTGCATTGGACATCACACAACGTTTTGTAGCTACGTTTCTGAAACGTCGGTGAAACGTTATAGAGTTTCCTTCTCGATAGTCATAAAGGAATAGAACTGCTTTATCAAAATCAACATGAATTTGTCAGAATACCAAGGCAGTAATGCATTACCTTTCTATATATTCGGCATTTAAATTTTCATCTCTTAATACTAAAATTTCCAGAACGTAATTGCGTATCTCTATGACAACGTTATTCCACAACGTAACAACAACGTTGCAAATTAACATTGTGATAACGTTGTGCTTTGGACATTACAACACTTTTTGCAAATGATGTTTTCGAAACCATTCGTAGATCTACTATCTCTTAGTTTTATTTTTTTTAAACATATATATCTATAACGATGTTATCTG